GGTGGTCGCACCAATTTTACACCTTGCTATTTAAGGGAAAACTGGGTAAATATGTACTTGGCCCTCAGTATTTACACGGATAGCTGCAGGCACACAGATACACAACTGAAAGATTCCTTGGGACTATGGTGGCTCCCTGAAGTCTTAAGGTCTAACGATGAAAGTGCGCAGCACAAAAAGTTCAATGCAAGAAAGGTTCAGGACTATCTTTCTTCACAAAGAAATCTCCTGCCATAGATCCCTCCATCTCAGCACCAGTCACATATGTACATGGAACTCAGTTGAGGGAAGGTTCCTGCAGATGTGAAATGCTTACAGAGACAGCGTTAAGGGACTGTGCTACAGTATGAGTCAGACGATTGTGATGAATGTAGAGTGGCTGTATGTCCTTGAAGGGGAAAGCAATTCTTGGTAGGGGGCTGCAGTGTTCCACTGACAGTTAATCTGAGGAGGATGTATAGTAAGGTCTGGGACAGACCTTCCCCTTTACTAGCTTTGAAGTTTTGGAACTATGATGGGAACGTGCCCTTCAGCAATCTGAGCTTGGAATAAAGTTTTGCTCTTGGAACACAAATGCAAGAGCTCTCTGCTCCTAAAGAGAAATTAGTATGTTAAAAGGTCTCCAGCCCAGAATGCATATTATCTCTGGTTTCCTCTGGAAAGGAAAGCTCTCTTGGTACCTAAGGTGTCCAAAGAGCTCCTTGAGAACTCGATCCTGGCTCTGAACTGTCTGCACGATAATCTTCACCATGTCAGTGCTGTCACTGTAAGCGTGATCTGGAAGGGATAACAATCATCTGGTTAGAAGACAGCGCCTCAGCAAACAGTTCATAGCTACATAGTATCCATGAAATTTAAGATTTAAATATCTGAAACCATTAAATTCAAGATTTTTAAAATGCCAGGACTATGAAGTTTACAAAAAATGGACTGTGAATTTGGTAGGGTCCTAAGCATGGTCAATAATGTTTCCATAATTCCTCAACATGTTAGACTTGGATGTCTAGATGGGCGCCAAAGGCTGCACTGCCTAAAGGAGGCTGTATTTAGCTTCTTTTAAACCAGTGTGGGCCTTCAGAAGCTCTTTTGTTACTGGCTGGGTGAATCTAATTATTGCATAAACAACCAGTTTTGGGGATTGTGTGCCCTATTTCTTGCACTCTGCCATGAGTGTGGCACTCTCAGTGTGGTCCATCAAGGCACCATGGTCACATCAAGCATCTATTCTTCCTCTCTCCCCTCTCAGCCGGATGTCTGCCCACGTTGTCCAGCAACAGTGCCCCGACAAACTGAAAGCAACAGTGCCCCGACAAACTGGTAGCAAAGGTTTTGATGGCATCAATCCACACTAAGGTAAGAGCTAACAATATGGCTGTCTTGGTAACTTGCAGGATTTTCTGAACACTTTAATAGCTGACTGGGAAGGATTAACAGCATGCCTAGAACGGGAACAATTAAGCCTTAGACCAAAAGAAAAGAATCCTACCACTTTTTATACTACAGCTGATCCTATGTAACACCTGACTGATACCCCTGTGGGTCAGGACAAAGTTAAGGTGTGTGGCAGTTCTGACACTATTAAGGACGGTGTAATGAAAACAATCACTAAATGAGCTACACTTTATAACGTAATTATTCCACTGCCAAAAAGACATTTGATGTCATTTACACAACTCATTGCCCTTGCAGACATTTCCTCCACTGACCACCTATGACTTTGGACAGGCATACCATCAAACCACTCCTCACAGTTCCCACCAAGACCTAGAAAGCTCCTCTTCTTTCCCATTCCATCATCCTCCACTGACCACCTATGACTTTGGAGAGGCATACCATCAAACCACTCCTCGCAGTTCCCACCAAGACCTAGAAAGCTCTTCTTCTTTCCCATTCCATCATTCTGGGCAGGAAGGGGTGAAGATACACTTAGAAGTCCCTCCTCCCTGCTGCAAATGATAATGTAAAAAGTCTAATATTTACTGTTAAAAGCAGAGATTGCTTGCAGGGTTTGGGTTTTATGTAGGTCACAGAACAAGCCTGTTCCATACCTGGTGGTCTTGGTTTTAATTGCTTGTATAGTTCTATGGCTTTTTGTTCACTGCAAAAAGAAAAAAAATCACTTCAGATATGTATTAGCACACACAGAGGAACTGATCATCTGTAACATTCAAGAGTAAAAAGATTTCATATTCAAGTCTTTACTAAGATGGAGCAGATTTTTACATCTTGCCAACAGATAGCCTGCTCCCTCTACATTAGAAATCCAATGCAATTCATCCTGTGATAAAAAGTCCACATTTCCTTAAAAAACTGCCCTTTTCTTCATGATTCAGTGTTTACCTTTCTGATATTCAGTCTAAATAGCATTGATTCTATGCTTTCTTCAATTTTGAACATATGTACGATTTCCATGAAAATCTATCAGGATTTTGTTGCTATATAATATTTATACATTAAAAAGTTTGATTTTAGTAATGTTGGTAGCTTTGCAGCTGTATAATTGCCTGACATACTCCCTATTTGCACTCATGTTTCCTTGCTTGCTCGCAGTTCCATAGGGGACATTCGGGAAGAGTACAAGGAAGATATCCCAAAAAAGTACATTTCCTTCTCCTTTTAAAGTAAGTTTTGCTGCTCTGAACAGCTCAAATAATTCAGAATCAGTTACATGCTGAAGCTTCCAACTCCATGACACATCCTCACTTTACTATTTCAAAAAGTTCAGCATAATCTTCTCCAACCGATTAGTTTCTCCCATCACCTCCTAGCCAATTCCAAAACCTGGAACTTCCCACTCCCTGGCCAGCTCATGAACTCACATCGTAGGTCACCTCTAGAGGAGTTAAGGAAATCATCCACTCCAGTCAGATGTCCTGTGCTTCTTCCCAATAATACATTTATAGAGCACTTCCCTCCACAAAAACCCTGGGGCTGCTGAACAGCCATAGCAGCATTTTCTTGTTAACTTCCAGAAAATACCCCAACCTCAATAAAATTACAGACAGGGTGAGGGAAAAAAAACCCCGTAAGAACAAAACAGAATAGCAGCAGTAATTTAAAGACACCTGAAAAAGAGCATTTGGTGGTTTTTAAGTGGGGAGATGAAATGGGCAGATTTCAGGAAGGAGGGAGTTCCACACTGTGGGGACCGCCACAGCCACGGCTTGCTCCCAGGCCTACTTCTGACATGATGGTGGACTCTCTCAGCACCAAGTCATGTGGAAGAACAAAAATCCATTTGTTAGAGGCAACAAAAGGGAATCTCAATTGTGACCATGGCAGTCCCATTCAGAGCTTTATAAGCCAGTAAGGCTAACAGCCAGAACCTGCCACTTAACAGGCAGCTGATGTAAAGAACACAATGCAGGCTGAAATAGCTCAACTAGCAAGCCGTTGCATGGCTGAATCTGAACAAGGTGCAAGTGGTGCATCAGATGTGCTGGTAATCCCACGAAAAAGGGTATTACAACAGCTTTCTCAGCCATTGCCAGGCTCTCTCAAGCATGCAGTTTTCAAAGGGTTTGGGTATATAATTCTACAGTACTGAAGGAAACACACGGACTCTTCCCTTCCTACCCACCCACCCACCTCTACAAAATGGAGAATTAAAAACAAAATAGACACCAAAAAAATGTTTAAAACCTGTTACAATGTAAAATGATTTCAGTAAGTATGAGAGAATAGCCCTTTTCCTTACAGACTTTCCATGACATCTCCCTGGCGTCTTGCATATGGACTCCTCTGCAGTTCCACAATCTCTGTGTGCAGAGCCATAATCTGTTCATCTAGGTATCCGATATCTCCAGCCTAATGATAAAATATAACGTGTTATAAATCCCAAGTTTTAAACGGAAAGTGATACGTGTAAAGCCATTTCAGGAGCAGAAATACAAAAAAACCCAACAGAAAGATACTCCAGATTACTTCGTTCAAAAGACAAGTGAATCTGAATGGAATTAAGAACATTCTGAAAGTGTAAGTGTTGCTGTATTGAAGGACAATAATTATTCAGTAGATTGGTTACCGCGATAATGCTATGGAAATCAGACTAGTTTCCACACAATATACAATACCCTCCACAACCTTGGATAGAAACAGACAATACAAAAACTGCAAACGTCTTCTTATAGCAAAGGATTCCTGTATAGTCTAGAGTCAGCCCTGTTGAGTTAACCAGTTACACCACCACAGAAGTAGCAGAAAGTCTCAATTTAGGTGCTGAAACTGCTGTCATATAAAAGTTGCGGAACAACATTATGGGCCAAGTTGAGATGCGTCCAGAACTTGAAAGCCTAAAAAACTATAAACAGATAAACTATGTACCTGGATGGCAAAATGCCACTCTAGTGATTCCTCCATTAGGAGACAAACTTGTGGTATGTCCAAATGGTCTCCTGTTCTCACATGCTGAAGGAATCTACTAATCTGGAGTGACGACTGATGGGAAGTAACAATATATTTGCTTAAGTGGGAGTAATGGAAGAGACTAGGATGAAATGAGAAGACACATGCAGGGAGAATGGCAGACCAAAAGACTCTGACCAAAGACAGTACTGGAAAAACATCTTGTATCTCCTTGCATATACTGATCAAACGCTTTGATAGCTAGAGATCTGCAATTCTTCTCATAAGAGGTTCTATTTGTTTCTACCCAGGCTGTGGAATCAAACTGAGTTCTGAGACTTTTAGATGTCCACATCTACCCAGGCTGTGGAATCAAACTGAGCTCTGAGACTTTTTTCCCTAAATGCTTTTAAAATAGCTGAATGAGTCATCAGGAGATGGTAAATTTTGAATCTTTCAGGTCTTTCATTTTGCCAGGAAGGATATGAATGAGATATCTGAATGCCAGAGGGATCACATCCTAATCAAAAGGATTTGGATTGTTCTGCTTACATCCAGGCGATTGCATCTGTTTCTTCGAAAACGCACAAGGTTAAGGCCATAAGAAAGGAAAAGTTGTTCCCGTCACAAATGATACACAGCAATCATACTAGTTCAAGAAATCTTGGAGTTTCGAGAAGTACTTTCGGTGAAAAAACACTGAAGACAAAATAAAAATGTCACATCCTGAATCTAAGAGGAACAAATGGAGTTTGACAAGACAACCTTAACAAGAATCCAGGTGGAGTCAGCACTTGGAACAAAGCACTGGTCAATCTTCAGAGTGCTCAAGGCAGTAACTTATGACAGAGTATTGAGATTTAGGCTACAGCAGGGATTGAGGCTCTGAGATCAATCCACAAACAGTAGATTTAGCAGGCCTGTTAAAACCGGGGATGTAGCACCAAACCTGTGTATCCATGACACTTACTACATGTTGTGGTGGATTTGCCATCTTTGGACATATTAAAATCAAGATGAGACATTTTTTGTCAGAGATGTTCTAGTTGAAGCAGGGATTAATTCAGTCAAGTCTTGTCAGGAGGTCAGATTAGATGCTCACAGATTAGATGCCCCTTCTGGCCCTGAAAGCTATGAACAGCACCATGAGAGATGCTTCCATAATGAGAAGCGAGTCTTATAAACAGAACATCAAAGTAACCAATTTAAGTACAGGCAGTCCCCGGGTTACGTACAAGATAGGGACTGTAGGTTTGTTCTTAAGTTGAATTTGTATGTAAGTCGGAACTGGTACATATTGTAGGGGAAACTCTAGCCAAACATTTCTCCAGAGCTCAGTTTTATTCTCCCACACCTCACTTCCCTCAGTCCTTTATTCTCAAGCTGAGGTGTCTGCTGAGAAAAGCTGCGCCGTGTCTCCCTGGTCTGCTGGGGGGAGCGCTAGCTTCGCGTCTCCCTGGTTTGCTGGGGGGAAGCAGCTAGTGCGGGGTTGCCTCACCCCATTTGTAAGTAGGGATCCGATGTAAGTCGGATCCATGTAACCCGGGGACTGCCTGTATTTTAATCACTCTGATGTCAAGACAAGTTTAAAACAAAGTGGTAAGATGTTAAGTCACTGATTCCCTGCCAACCTTGGTAAACCAAAACTATTGTGTAGGGGTAGAACTACACAGATTTCAAATTCTCAGGTACTCCCAAATCACCTCATGGTAGAAATGAATAAGAATTTTCTATGATGCTGCATTTCTACTATGGACTCTAAGGAGGCAACGGAAAGAGTCTGATAGTGAAATAAATTGTTATATTTGAACAACACAGTAACAGCTGAACTGTTCCCTGAGGAAGAAACTGGTTGAAATAATGTTGCTATTGCTACTTCACTCAGTTCATGAGGTATCTTCAACAATGGCTTCAGGTATGGCACACACTATTGCTAATGTTTAATAAGTGATTTTTTAACATTTATCTAAGTGAATGTATTTCATCAATTGGACTCACTGATTCAGTTCCTTTAAACATGTCTATGCAAATCCTTGAGTTTTCTACACCATACACAACCCCTGTGCAGAAAGTGGCAGAGTATGTTATTCCTCAGTAAAGCTTCAGATGGGAAAAATAACACAAATGCAGTATTTTTTGTTGTATCTGCCTGACAAGTCACCCTCCTCCAGACAACAAACATCCTGCTTTTATTTCCATACCTCAGCACACAGGGCGGCCTTTACTTCCATTTCCTTCCAGGCTTTAAGCATCTTTTCTGAAGCTTAAAAGAAATGGAGTTTGATTAATGCACAAAAAGGAAAAAGATATCAAGTGACCTCAAAAAGAACTTCCGTCTGCATGCCTCTGAGGTGAAGACTGTCATGCTGAGTCGCATACATGAAAGCTGCCATATGTCCTAGAAGTCTCAGACAATTCCTTAGTGTTGTACAAGGACAGGACCTTTGCCCAAAATAAATCACCACCACTGCCAAAAGTGTGTGAAGATTCAATGAGCTAGTAATGAACATTGGACAAACACCTGTCAGATAATCTAGGTATGCCAGGCTATGCTTAGGCTACTTTGGGGGCTAAATATGCTAGGCAAACATCACTGAACACCGCCTGGAAGACCTGCTTTGGTAACCTTCCCATAAACTTGGTCAAAACGTGCCAATGAGAGAGCCTGATGGTTACAGATGTATGTGTCAAACCATCCACCAAATTCATAGTTTTTTTTGCCTCTCTCTTTAGGTACATATTTAAACAGATCTGTTTCACACCCTAGGGCATGCCCACCATGATGCCTACAAAACCTTACCATGATAAGGTATGTGCAGAAATGGGACCATCCTTCTCCTTCCTTGCTTTTCTATTCCCATACTTTAACTAACGCCCTCACTTCTGCCATTCATAGATTATAAGGACAGAAGAGATCATTGTGATCATCTATTCGGATCTCCTGTGTAACACAGGCCTCCTCTTCAGGATTGGGGGGGGACGACGACGGAGGGAGGAGAGAACAGACAGACAGGGAACCCGACCTGAAAAAAGAGCTCTGTGTAACTCAAAAGCTTATACCTTCCACCGATAAAAGATATTACCTCACCTACATTATCTATCTGCAAACTTTATTAAATGATGATTTTATGTTTTCTTCCAGGCCATTAACAAAAATGTTAACTAGGTTCACTGACCTCTTTCCCACTTAAAAAATACAAGACACTAACAGAACTATGATGATCTCCCAATAAGTTTGTTTGCTTATGTAAGCGCTTCATTCTCAATCCTCTATCTCTATCATTTAGATGATAAATTCTCTGCAGCACGAATGGTCTAACCACCATGGGTAACAGCATCCATCAGACATATATAGGGGCCTTCAACTATTCAAAAAATACTTACATATTCCATAAGCCATCTGGTCACTGTATCTCTCCAGATCCAGATGAATGCTCTGATGAAAGAACTCCAGCTTTGCTCTCAACTGCTGAGATGCGGACACCATATTGTTTTTCATCTTGGTTAAGTTGGCATTATATCGAAGAAGACTCAACCTAAACAATAATTATGAACGGGGCCTATTGAAATTAATACAGCTGGAATTCTGTGATTTAGTAACAAAAAATGAACTGCTATAATCAATGCACAGAAAACCTAAATTCCAACTTCTACAGGAAATGCATCAGTGGCGCTGAATTTCTTAAGACCTTTTAGAGTAAGATTCTTAGCAGAGACCGACTCCTTGTGTGACCCTGAGCAGGTGAGTACTCCATGGCTGAGACGGACTGCAACTATGTGTTTGTGCAGCACCAAGCACAAGGAGAGCATGTTCATGGCTAGGGCCTGTGGGTGCTCCCATAATACAAATAATAAATAAGACCATCTATCCCTACACATGCAAACTACTCTGAACTATCTGTATTAGTAATATATGTAATATGCAGAGCAACCATCATAAACCCATAAAAACAATTTTCATCATGAACTGCTGTCTGTTCCTGGCATATGGTGAATTATTTTTGAAAATCCTTTTTAGCTCTCTGTTTTATGAACATAGTCTTCCTCACTGAAAACAGAGCTACCATTTTCCAACACACATGAAACTTCTGTTATTTCATAGAACTGAACTATGAAACTTTGACTCCACAGTTAAAGCCGAGTTGAGTTTTGTACATAAAGTGGAGATTCAATCCCTCTGTGTGAATACAGCAGACCCTCACTAAACTTACTGCATTTATTCTGAACATTCAATGAATTTTAAGAGTATTTGCAGGTAAATCCATTAGTTTAGAAATTAAACATTTACATTCTGAAGTGGGTTCTCTAAAGATAATGTAACTGTTCAGAGAAGTCTTAAAAGAGTAACAAACTTCTAATTTGTTGTATAATTAAAACTCGCTGAAATCATTTGAAAACTTTTCTTCCTTTTGTGGATGGACTTTTGTGATATCATGTATAGAAGCAATGAAAACACCACAGATTAGGACAAGTTTCCATGATATCATGTATAGAAGCAATGAAAACACCACAGATTAGGACACCACCACAGATTAGGACAAGTTTCCGTATAGTTTACATTTTAAGTTTATGATAAAAAGGAACAAAGCACTTCAAAAGAGCAGGTATTCAAGAACCCTTTAATCCATATAGCTGTCAGTTCACAACTTCCATGTTCATGTCTCTCCCTGGTCTACTGAATTGGCAATCAACTTACATTGCAGCTCTCTGCCCTTGGAACAGCCTGCTATAATCTTCTTTCAGCCCAGTCACATAGTGCACAGCTTCTGCCCACACTTTGCGCAACTGTGAAATGGGCAACTGCGTTTTACTGTCCTGTACTGCACACAAAAGAAACAATAAAACTGTATCAATGAAGTTTCCTGGAATATTTGTAAGACACTAATTCTTCATTTCTATACACAATTTTCCAATGTTATTTTTCACATTGAAAAATGCTCTTTAGCATTTTAGCTATGAAATAATCCATTTCAAGAGAATAATAAAGTATAGGATGCAGGTCCAGTCAATAGTCTTGTTAAAAAACTATAAACCATTATAATTAGAATTAAGACATTTCAAATTCAACCCAATTATCACTGATTTCTAGTGGATTCTAGTTTATGTTACAATAATTCTCAAACTGCCCCATTGACAAATGGGATGCCAACCACACTTACTGATTTGGTAACAGCTAGCCATACTTTACTAATATTACATTTTTAGGTAAGGAACTGTGGTATACACAGAACTTGAATGAATGGATGTATGAATGAATGGTTATATATATATATATATACACAAGTGTATAAGGGTTAAGTAGTGATAGGAATAAGTAGTTAAACAACGTTGTTTGCTTCTATATTTTCTTTATTTTTATTATTATCTTTACAATAAATGTGGCTTTTTGCCTTATCCCCCTCATAAGATCCTGCTTGCTTTTATTTGGTACAACAATGTGCAGGAGTACGATCCACAATAGGAAAAATTTGGAAACCCCTGTGTTAGAAAACTTGAGCTAGCTTCTAGTATAAACATCCAATTTTCCCAGACATATAAGGTAGTTTAAAATGTTTTAACATAACTGTTGGATGAGAAAGGTGTCTGAAAAGTTAAGGACATTATTGGTGTGACTATCATTTACACAGCATAAGATTCAACTGTATTCTCAGGTTTGTCTTGCAGAGGTTGGAAATAGGTCATGAGGTTGGAAATATGTTTAGCTAGTTGATGAAGCACCCTTCTGTGGCAGACCACAGCAAAATGCACACGCCTGCTTCAGTTTCCCTTCTTAGTTAACACAAAAGATGTCATTTCAGGCTCTCTTACGTGCAACACAAAACTCCTCCTAGGAGCCAGCTTATTAACAAAACACACTGCAAACCACCCCAGAACAAAACTCCCCTGAGTCCATATCGCCACCCCCAGGTCGTCCTTAAATGTCACTCTTCTGAGAAGGAACTAGGTATGTGAATTGTTAACTGGGTAGCATCATCCTTAACAGATGATGCTTACTAGTTATGGTTAACTAGTGGAGGCTGCTGAAGCCCCATGGGGCCTGCTGTGGGCAGGGGCACTCAAGCCCAGCCACAGTAGCCCCTGCCCACAGCAGAGGGGGCCCCTACACATCCCCATTTAACGAGTTAACTAATTAAACAGAATTTTACATCCCTAGAAGGAATCCCCATCAGCCTTTCTGCTGAAAGTGCATCAATACCACACTCCAGTGTCTTCTGCCACACCTAGACTCCTTGCCCACCCTCTTCTATCCCCATGCAGTCATCCCAGCAGTAAAACCCTTCTCTTTCCAGCCTCTCTGCTGGGAGATCATCTTTACCACACCTCACTTCCCTGCTCCCTCCGGGTTTCTCCAAGTCCAGCTCTCTAGCCCTTGTTCCCCTATTGTCAGCCCTCTACAGCACTTAGTTCTAACCTGAGTGCCAGAGCTAACAGGTAAAGTCTTCTGTTGCTCTGTCCTGCAGCCCTCTCCTCTACTATGGCCCAGAATCTCCAGACTGAGGAAGTCAGCCAGCAAATGGCTCTTATGGTGCTCCTACCTTCAGCCTTCTTCCTGGAACCACATTCAGTCTCTGGCAGCTCTCGTCTGCCTTTTTCCTGGCTGAGGGCAGACAGTCACACACTAGGAATCTCCCCAACACCTCTCTCTCCGATGCCATCTTACCACCTTCACTGAACCGACTGGGAGCATCTGCTCTAGCACGGGGCAGCTGAACCGACTTGGGCATGAGACTCTGACACACTAGTATTCATTTAATACCCTACCACCAAAAATAAACCCCTTGGCCAATCACAGATATCTCCAATTCGACCACCCACTCAAATCTTAACTTTGACCCACTGGCAGTTACTTAATATGTAATAGATTTTTCATAGCATACATGACAAGAAGTTAATCAACCATAATAGATTTTTCATAGCATACATGACATTTAAGAAGTTAATCAACCGAGTGTGATTGAAAAGAACATATTCCCAGAATACATTCGTTTATGCATTTATTTTATAACCTTACTAGAAGACTTACCCAGTCCGGTGTTGCTTGGGTCCTTTATGGTAGGGGGCTTGCGGTGTGGTGGGTGCAGGAGTCAGGACAGGGCCTTGGGGATGTGGAGTGCTCAGGGCAAGAGACGTTGGAGGGTGTGAGAGTGAAGGTTGAGGGTGAGGAGGGGCTTAGAGTGAGGGGGGAGGTGCAGTGTCAGAGTAGGGGCTGGGGTGGCTGCAGACTTCTCCCCAGGAGCCAGTGGGGCACTCTTTACACACGTCACAAAAAGACTTGCAGAGGCAAGAACAAGGAGCACCAACACCTATCATGGGCAGCAGAAGCAACTGAGGGGGGTCAGGGTGGCTCCATCCTGTACGTGCGTGCAATTGGCACAAGGCACAGCAGGCACTTGTGCTTCCTCAACAAATACCACTGGGGAAAATCGGATAATTGTTCCCTCAAGTGCTCAGACCCATGCAGTGGAATGGGTATGTGCAATCTAATCCACTCCCTTTCATCTTGGTCAACAAGGTTCGGGCAAATGTGCCCACTCCCAGCCTCCTGTGTTACCAAAGGCTGTAATGGAACACCTGGGGACTAAAAAAGTGAGATATGGACACGAGGTCCAGTAACTACCTAATTCATATGATTTCTAGAGCAGTCTGCCCCCACAGGCACTCCCACTATAGAATTTTTGGCTACACCTGTTGTGTTTCTATTTGGCTGGGATTTATTTATGGACAGTAGAGAGGGATGATGGTCTCTCAGTGCTGATTTTTTAGGCAAGACAAATTTGGGTATTAAATTAGTCGAAGGGCATTCAAGTTCAAAGTCTATTGGAATACACTTACCAATGTAATTTACACAGTCAGACAGACTTCTGGAAGCAAAGGGTCCTTCATATACAGTTTTGCTTTTATCAAACAAATAAACCATGTAACTGTCCCAGCCTCTCTGAAGAGGAAAAGAAAGATTGTAAAATAGGGAATACCGAACAAACCATCAAAAGGATTTCAACTCTTCTTGCCAACCCTATCGCTTGCTACCATATAACTTTATGAACTAGTTAGAAGAGATGCTGATCTCAGATACAACAATCATTTTATATATTGACAGCTGATGAGAATGCAGCACTTCAGTGACTCAAACTGTTTGATTTAAGTCCTTAAACAGGAATTAAGGATTCTAAAATTAAGCATGTGTGTGTTTGTTGTTTTTTTTTAAATATTGGGACTGTGACTATGCAGGGATAGAAATATGAAGCACGGCTTAGTTTCAGATCCTACATAAAAGACCAAAATTGGATTATTTTGAGTAGCAGTATCCTTTGACGTGTTCTCAAGACTCTATTTAGCTAAACTACCTTATATTAAAATTATCTACAGCCTAAATGCTATAAACATTAAGTAATGAAAAAAACAAAGCTTTTTATATATAGCTATGGATCTTTGCAATCTGGAGAAGTCTATGTCCTTTTGCTGCTGTGGCTGAAAGGTACAGGGGTGTCAGCTGGTGCTGTACCCACTTTCCCAGCCATGGCCTCAAATCCGACTCAGATTCTAAGAGTTGGAGCACATGAGCACTCTGATAGACAGTACCAAAAGGTTCCACTATCCGAGCAGCAATGGCTGGCACATTCCCAAGAATGGGAATACTGCAGAGGACACCAGAAGAATGAGGACCTTATGATGTTTTATCTCATAGCTCCAGGCAATAAGAAAAAACTGAGTGCAATCTGCAGCTGCCACCTCCATTCTTCCATGTTACAGGAAGCAAGAGAACAGGAGCGGTACAGGCAAAGTCCACCAGACACTGATATTCAACAGAACATGACCTCATGCATCTCATAGAATCATAGAATACTAGGACTGGAAGGGACCTCGAGAGGTCATCGAGTCCAGTCCCCTGCCCTCATGGCAGGACCAAATACTGTCTAGACCATCCCTGATAGACATTTATCTAACCTACTCTTAAATATCTCCAGAGATAGGGATTCCACAACCTCCCTGGGCAATTTATTCCAGTGTTTGACTACTCTGACAGTTAGGAACTTTTTCCCAATGTCCAACCTAAACCTCCCTTGCTGCAGTTTAAGCCCATTGCTTCTTGTTCTGTCCTCAGAGGCCAAGATGAACAAGTTTTCTCCCTCCTCCTTATGACATCCTTTTAGATACCTGAAAACTGCTATCATGTCCCCCCTCAATCTTCTCTTTTCTAAACTAAACAAACCCAATTCTTTCAGCCTTCCTTCATAGGTCCTGTTCTCTAGACTTTCAATTATTCTTGTTGCTCTTCTCTGGACCCTCTCCAATTTCTCCACATCTTTCTTGAAATGCGGTGCCCAGAACTGGACACAATATTCCAACTGAGGCCTAACCAGCGCAGAGTAGACAGGAAGAATGACTTCGCATGCCTTGCTCACAACACACCCGTTAATGCATCCCAGAATCGTGTTTGCTTTTTTTGCAACAGCATCACACTGCTGACTCATTCAGCTTGTGGTCCACTATAACCCCTAGATCTCTTTCTGCCATACTCTTTCCTAGACAGTCGCTTCCCATTCTGTATGTGTGAAACTGATTGTTCCTTCCTAAGTGGAGCACTTTGCATTTGTCTTTATTAAACTTCATCCTGTTTACCTCAGACCATTTCTCCAATTTGTCCAGATCATTTGAATTATGACCCTATCCTCCAGAGCCATCGCAACCCCTCCCAGCTTGGTATCATCTGCAAAGTTAATAAGCGTACTTTCTATGCCAATATCTAAATCGCTGATGAAGATATTCAACAGAGCAGGTCCCAAAACAGACCCCTGCAGAACCCCACTTGTTATACCTTTCCAGCAGGATTGTGAACCATTAATAACTACTCTCTGAGTACAGTTATCCAGCCAGGGGTGACATATGCACCAAAAGTAGAATTCTGCATGGCCAATCACTTGACTTGATGTTAAATGTGTAAACCAGGGGGTGCTAAAATTTACCTAACCACTGACTAAACTGAAAGAAAATAGCTTAAGCTACAAACTTCACTGTGATTAAATAAGAGCAATTAATTTCCCCTTAGATTTTTAATGTGAAAACTTAACACAGATATGACACAACTGGAGTAAAGTGGAAATAATCTTACCACACCATCAATAACACATTGGGAAGCAGGTTTACGAGGGTCCAGGGAAATTCCCATCTCCAAAAGCAACTCTTGATTTCCAGTACTTATTCCAGTATCAAGCTCAATGCGAGACTGAAGTGAATGAAGACTTTCCTCAGGATGCAAAAGAAAAGAAACAATCTTGGCAGAAGTCATATTCAAGATGTGTACTATCTGTAAAACCAAGAACAAAGTCATTACATCTTTCAGGAGACAAATGGCACAAAGGCATCAGGCTATATAATACACTGCCCTGGAAAAGTGATGTGCTGATGTACAAATAAATAAAAATTGGACTGTTTAGACAAACTTATTTTTAATTACTAACAACAGTGTATTCCTCATGTGTGACATATTCATATGAGGCCACCCTTATGCTTCCAGACTAAGGGTTAAAGAGTCACAATACTACTATATTCTTGCCTTTAGGTATGACCTGGATTAAGGTACAAGCGTCTTCTCCAGGAGGAAAGGAAGAATGCTTCCCTTGACAATAGATTCGGAGGGTTTAAGGATTTCCACTCAATTAGCTCATGCACTGTCCACCAAGAAGCCTTCACTGTCATTATTTAGATAACACATTTAAAAACGCACCTTCAGATTCAGTATATGATCCATTAATAGGAAACATCTTGGTCTATTGGTTTCTGCATCTATACCTCCACCCCTCTGCTGTGGATCCCAATTCAGCATCAGTTGTAACCAACTCTCCATTGGTTCTACCATTATACTAAACAAAATAAAAACAAACCATATATTGACGTGTAATCCAAATGGAAAAAGGCAAAAATTCTACAATCAACAGTCCAGTTAATTCAAAGGTGTTTTCTACCAGTATTATAAAAAAATCTAAAGGAGACAAAAATCATACTGACTTCAGTGGAACCAGGATTCCACACAAAAAATGCATCCTCTATTGTATCTCTAATAAAGTAGTTACACTTACTCAATGCAAAAAGCAAACAAAACAAAAACAAAACACACACACCCCTACAACATTAAGGTTAAACAATTACATGTTAGGCAAGGAAAAAGTTAACATCTTGGCCATATTGAGAATCCAATATAGTCTATGATACACATCTGTTGAATGAAGCTATAATAGAAACGTATACAGATTAAGTAGCGAGCACTAATTCATCGGCTCAAAGGGTGGTCTCGTAAGTTGAGTAAAGACTAAGTTAAGGTCCCAAGATGGTATGGTAGTGATACATTCACTATACCTGTCAAAGCTCTTAAGTCATGAGTAAATAAGATTCTATTGTCCTCTAATACATGGGAGGTTGAAATGGGTGCTAAATGGACTTTCAGAGAGAGTTCAGAATAGTAAAGCAGAACAAAGATGGGGCATGTCTCACACGTGACTGTACTCCAAAAGACTGCAGAGTCGTCTTTCAGGCATTTAAAAATATGAAGGGCTTCATTTTGGAAATGGAGATTACTTACTGTAACTGGAAGTTCATTGTGATATGCAGTCCCTATTTGTATTCCATACGTGCTCAACCAGAGGAGAATTTGCATTAATCTCCTGCTAGATATTCCATTCTGGCACATTTTCAATTTAGTTCTCTAAACTGACAGGCCTCACATCACACCTCCACCCTAGAAGGGGTTACATACAACTCCAGCCCACAATAATACATGAACTTTGCATTTAATACAACTGGACAAAGGTATTTAAATATTTAATATGTCCACCAGTTAGTGGCCTAACTCCACTGCTTATCATACAGTGCTTTGCAACTGGAAACCTAGAAGCAGCCATCCTGAGGTTCAAACTTATTTTGGCTAAAATTTAGATAAATCATAAACTTGTATCAATTAATAAATTGCCAACGGCTAACTACTATTAAATGCAAGGGAAGGTTGCTGGTGGTCACAGATATGCGTGTTTCAAGTCATGAGGCGGCCAAGTGCACTGCTTATCATACAGTGCTTTGCAACTGGAAACCTAGAAGCAGCCATCCTGAGGTTCAAACTTATTTTGGCTAAAATTTAGATAAATCATAAACTTGTATCAATTAATAAATTGCCAACGGCTAACTACTATTAAATGCAAGGGAAGGTTGCTGGTGGTCACAGATATGCGTGTTTCAAGTCATGAGGCGGCCAAGTGGGACTAATGGCAACCATGGGGGGGGGGGA